GGTGAAGAACTCACCGGTTGCTTTGAAATATTGACAGACGTTGCATACGAATACGCACGTCTTTTTATATACTTTTGGAGAAATTGTTAGAGCCTAAGCATCGTGTGGCCAGCACATATAGCTAGTTAAACTAATAAACTAAATATAACTACAGAACCATCTGTATTAGGTAAACCGTTCAATAAAATATATATATTGGACAAATATGTATTGCGTGAAGCACTCCCAGCGCCGTTTTGATAGCTATTGAATTCCAAAGATCAGGCTAAGTGATCCTCCTTCAGACAGGATTAATTTTTAGCTGTGGGCTTACGATAATACGATATAACTGAAATATTTAAAATAAGTAATGAAAAACCTTATGGTAACAGTAACTAGCTATGCAATATTTTTTCTGTTGGATTTCATAGGTTTTGTTTTATTTTGCGCGGAACCCTAATTTTTTTTTCCAAAACAAAAATGGTCTAAGTTAATCCATGCATTTGTAAACAGGTGTTATTATTACTTTACAAAAATACTTCAATTTTATTTATTTGTATAGAATCTATACAAATAAATAAGGTAATAATACAATAATATTTATGTGCAAAGCCGTGATAGTCCCAGTATATAAAGGAAAAGGGTCGCAGCAGGACTGTAATAACTACCGTGGCATCAGCCTTCTTAGCATTGTGGGAAAACTGTATGCTAAGGTACTGATTGAAAGGGTCATGAAAGAAACTGATGGAAAAATTTGGGATGTGCAAGCGGGATTCAGAAAGGGAATGGGATGTACAGATCAAGTCTTTTCCATGCGCATGATCGCGGAGAAGTTTTTGGCCAAAAACCAAAAGGTTTTTCGTGCGTTCATGGACTTGGAAAAGGCCTATGACAGAGTGGATAGGGATGTGCTATGGCAAACACTGAACTCATTTGGGTTGAGCGCTGGCTTGATACAGGCATTGGAGTCTCTTTATAGGGACTCTAGTGCTTGTGTTAGGATCAACGGGGTCTACTCGGACTGGTTTGACATCCATAAAGGTGTCAGACAGGGCTGTGTGGCTTCCCCGTGGCTGTTCAACCTATTTATGGACAGTTGTTTGCAAAATTTGAAAGTTGAAGAATGCGGATTAAGAATGGGTGAGTTAACCGTCAAATGCCTTTTGTACGCCGATGATCAAGTTATCCTTGCGTCGTCGGCGGCCGAGTTGCAAATGATGGTTACATTAATGAACAGATCATTAAAAGAAAGGGGTATGAAAGTGAAAGCAAGTAAGACGAAGGTTATGGTTTTTGAAAGAGAAGAAAATAAAACGATTTGTGAAATAAGAATAGAAGGGGAGTTGATCAAGCAAGTAGATGAGTTTGTATATTTGGGCTGCGTATTTAGTAGGGATGGGAGATATGATAAGGATATAGAACGACGAGTGAATGCGGGAAATAGAGTAAATGGGGCCCTGCGCTCTATTGTCAAAATGTGTCAAAAAGGCACGTATGGCAATTCACAATGCTGTGTTGGTCCCTACTTTAACGTATGGTAGTGAAAGTTGGGTGTGACAGAAGAAGCACGAGAGTAGAATCAACGCAGTAGAATTGCGGTCCTTAAGGAGTATGTTAGGGCTGAATCTGAACGACAGGGTAAGAAATTGTGTAATAAGAGAAGAGTGTGGTTTGCAAGATGATGTTGTGACCAGGATTAAGAAAGGAATGCTTCGGTGGTTTGGTCATGTGGAAAGAATGAATGAGGAAAGAGTGACAAAGAAAATTTATGTTGCAGAAGTGAATGGCAGAGTCGGAAAGGGACGTCCTAGGCGAAAATTTATCGACCACATTGGCGATTTATTGAAAACGGGCCAAATTAGGAGTACCCTTAACCGACGAGCATGTATGCGTAGATGTATGGATGTGAAGGAGGCGAGAGAGGTGTCAATGGAAGTCTGTAGTCTCTGCCTACCCCTCTGGGTGACAGGCGTGAGTGTTTATGTTATGTTATGTTATGTTAATATATATATATATATATATATATATATATATATACTAGGTATATTATATTATATTACATAATGTATTGTATGGAATCTATTACCGTAGTATTTTCTAGCTCTATCTATAATATTTAATAACAATGTAGGAAATTTTGTCTGCGCGCAATTATTTTTCTTTTCACATTGTTATATCTAAATTCCAATCGTGATAAGAAGCAAAACTAACATTAACGAATTTGAAAATGAGGGTTTTATCCATAGATTTAGTATTAACTGAAGTTAGGTTTTATAATTTCCTTTGATGTAATGAGCATGCAAATCAATATGTTACTGTGAGATATTTTCATTCTATGTTATATAATTCTTATGACCACGTTGGACAAAATGTTGTTATAAGACACGATTTTGACGCTAAAAAATTAATACTACTTTGTTTTTTTGAGAACAAACTATTTCATAGTTTGTTCTCGAAAACAAATGCACATACGAGTGAAATAATTAAGATCTCGGTTTTTTCGAAGCTATATAATATTTTCGATAAAATGAAAGGCATGTTATTGAACTAGATTATTCATCGGTAACATTTTTATTTCGATATTATTTCCTGTTAATAAGCAAAAACGTTGCAATTATAGTAGCTTTTTGTCCACCAAATGTCGCTCGCTTACTTCGTGCTGGATACGAGAGTACATGCAGGGGAGAAGTTGTTGGTTCTAGGAGCTATATGGCCGGCCCATTGCCACTTCAGCTTACTAATCTATTGGGATATGTCGATCACTCTAGTTCAATTGCGGAGATCCTCATTTCTAAGTTTATCACGCAAAGATATTAAAAAAAAGAGAAACACCGAGCATAGCCCTCTCCATAGCTCGCTGAGCGACCTTGAGCGTCCTCATATGGCCAGCAGTGAACGACCACGTCTTAGATCCGTAACTCATCACTGGCAACACGCACTGGTTGTACAATCTAGTTTTCAGGTTTTGAAGTATACCTGACGAGAAGATGTGCGTAATATTTTCACTTTACAATGGGACGAAAATACACAAGACAAGAGGTTTTGTGATTGTTGTACTCGTACTATAAACGTTTCATCATATAAACAAACATACGAGTATAAAGCACTTCGTATCCAGCGTGACCACTTTTAGTAGATTTCTACTTTTGTAGTAGATTTGAAGCAAATAAGACGATAAGCTAGTAGGATAAAATGTCTTAGTAAAATTTAGTAGAAATGAGAAACACGTCGGTATATTTTGGTATTAATTCACTATCAAAGAATAATAGGCTTAAAACCAAGCATCCATGTCCAAAAAGTTTTAATTTTACAGTTGACAACACACGAAAGTGATTAGGGGGATTCCCTTATTATTGAATGAACGTTACTGTGGGCATAGTAAATTGAATTTAATTTTCCAATAGATTTTACTTTTTACTTACTTTACTTAGTTTAGTCGTTTTCGTTCATTTGTGTCGTTTGCTTTCACGAAATCATACATTTATGTAATTTAAAATGAAAAGAAGATACGATCAAACTTATCGTGTGGAGTGGCAGGAAAATCCATTATTTTCAAAGTGGCTTAAAAAATGTGATGAAAAAATGCTTATTGTAAAGCTTGCAATTCTAAAATTTTAGCAAGAATTGCGTCTATCAAAGAGCATAGTGCTTCAGTAAAACATATCAAAAATATGATTGGTTTTTCTGGATCGTCTCAGGTAACTACTTTTTTTTCTTTTAAATTTCTCTTTTAAAATATTATTAATTTAGCAATATTTGACATTATGCATGTAATTGCCTAGACATGTTGACATATCCGTACCGTAAGTTATTTATCCGTGCAAATAAAATTGATTACTTATTAATTACTCAATTTGTAGGGGTCCTATTTTCTGTGCCAAGGACCACGGGTTCGATCCCTGCTCAAGATAAACATTTGTGTACAACATGTTTGCATTAGTCTATGCGTTTAATTTTTCATGTAGTCAGTCACATTTACGCGCTGCAACGCAGTGTTTCGTATTTTCAGTGTACTAAGTTGATTAAATAAGTAAAAAAATTGTTTTATATGACGGGTGGATCATACCATTATTTTACAGATTGATAAATACTTCAAGTAGACATCACTTGACAGTTATGTAAAGAAGGCAGAAATTTATATCGTTGCTTGTCTTGTAGAGCACAATGTACCTTTCCGGATAATGGACCACCTGAGTGAGATCATTAATCGAGCCTTTCACGATTCTGATATAGCTAAAAAAATTTCTTGTAAAAGAACCAAGTCTGTTGCTATCGCTTACACTGCGTTAAGAGAGAAATTTGAAGTAAGAATGTATGAAAATTTAAAGTCCGGATCGTTCAAATTTTTAATTATTGTTGACGAAAGCACCGATGTCAGCACTACAAAGGTTTTAGCAATCGCCACAAATTATTATTCCGAAAATGATTTACGTGTGAAAACTAGATTGTTAAGTTTAATAGATATAGACGATGAAACAGCACAAGACTTGTTAAACGCACTCAAAACTGTATTTGAAGAACGTGGTCTTAAATGGGAAGATATGATTAGCTTCGCAGCTGACACGACAAATGTTATGTTTGGCGAACATTCTGGAATTGTGACTAAAATGAAAGAACTAAATCCACACTGTGTATATGTGAAATGCGTGTGTCATTCCGTTGCGTTAGCTGTGAGCCATTCGTGTAAACTACTGCCACGAAAATTGGAGCAATTGGTCAAAGAAGTTTATAATTATTTTTTTCAAAGTAGTAAACGTCAGCGCGATTTCACAGAATTCCAAGAATTTACCGATACAGAACATTATAAGCTACTCAGACATTATGATACACGCTAGCTTTCCCTTCACGGTTGTATTAATCGAATATTACAACAATGGTCAGCATTGAAATTATATTTTCAGGGACAATATTTGGGACCCCCGCAACAGCTTCAAGATATTTTTAAAAGGTGCCAAGAATTCTTAAGATCTTTGTGTGTGCAGTTAAAAACAAGACTACCATTTGATGATGATATTTTTGAAATGATGTGCTTCTTAGATCCCCAAACTGCTTTACATGCTGAATTTACAAGTTTGTTTAATGTTACCTCAAAATTTCCAAACATTGTTTCCGAAAGTGACATTCAACTAATCGACAATGAATTCAGGGAACTTAAACTTAATATGGAGGTCGCAAACTTATTATGCAGTACTAGCAGCAGAGAGGCTGTTACTAATGTTGAAGAGTTTTGGGCGTCAGTAAGTAAATTATGTCATGCTGACAATAAAGCTCAATTTGGAAATATCAAAGCAAAAAGTAAATTTGCAAAGCAAATGCTTTGTTTACCAGTATCGAACGCCAAACGTGAACGCATTTTCTCTGCTATAAATAGAATAAAAACAGAAGACCGTAACAGATTTAGTAATCTAAACGTTCATGCAATTTTACACGCTAAGGAGGGGTTAAAGGAATCGGGAAATTGTACAAAATTTGAACCTAGTACTTCGATGTTGGAAACAATGAAAAATGAAAAACAATTATATAAAAATGTTGAAAAATTCGATGACATTGACAATTAATACAAAAATGTTAATCAATAAATGATTGATTACATGTAAGGTTCATTAACAAATGTGTCTTATTTCGAATCAAAACACTACTCTAAAAATTAGTAGATTTTACAATGCGACCTAGTAGATTTCAGTAGATTTTAGCAGTGTCTTTGGTGGATTCCCTCATTTAAAAGTGGTCACGCTGTTCGTATCCCTCTAATTGGTTGTTAATTCTAAGTTATTAAATTTAACACGTTGTTAACTGTTAATTTACCACGTGGTTAACTGTTAATTTAACTAAATAATGAGCTATTTCAACAATGCCTTGCTTATACAGTTAAGAAGACAACTAAAATTTCATTGTTTTAGAATTGTACAACTGTTTATTTAGTTACTCAATAGTATATTGTGGTTAAAGTTAGGTTGGCACGTAAATGTATTTTATTTTTATTTTTAAATTAGCGATTTTATTGTCAGTTAAAACTTAAAAGTTAGTTGAAAAAAGCGAATAAATTATAATCTGACTGAATATAAATGTGAAGCAATTGAACTATTTTATTCATAGCTTTAAGTTTTAATTTGTTTATGTTGTATTTTATTTTATGAATTAATTGTATGTCAGTATAGAAAAATCGGACCCTAATTGATTATTTCCATAGTTATTTATCTATTTAAAAAAAATCGGTCCATCGTAAAACGATTTTTAGATCGCTTTGAAGATCATCGATTAATGTATAGTTTTTGATCGAAAGACCATGTATGTATATAACGCCTTTCTTCTCGTCCCAAAATAAAAAGAAAATCCATTATTAATTAAAGGTAATTAAGAGAAAAATAAGAAAAGTCTCATTTATACTGAAATCTCTTTCATCCTTACTTTACTTTTTAATACTTGTTAGAAAACTGCTTAGGTGTTTATCGTTTAAATAAACTCGTACGCTACAGTTAATTTGCCTTTATGTGAATCTAAGTAGTTTACAAAGTAATATCATATTAATTATATGAATTTTCATATAATTAATATGTGTAATAATTATCATATTGTGAGTATGTAGGTTATTCTAAAAGTAGTCAGTAATCTAAAGTAATTTAAAACTATAATGTCATCAAATTATATGCGTATATTATAAATTAATATTATGTAATTTATTTTATCCATTGCTAAAAGTTGATTATTATTTTATAATTTATATCAGAGCCGTGGTAGCTCAGATGGTTAACGCTCGCTGTAAATAACAGAACGCGAGTAACCCGGGTTCGATCCCCGCCGGCACCAATGAAATTGTTAATTGCAATTTTAAGTGCTGATTTACCACGTGCTCGGCGGTGAAGGAAACATCGTGAGGAAACCTGCATGTCTGAGGAATAAGAAAAAAAATATTTTGAAGACATGTGAAGTTCGCCAACGGGCGGCGCGGCGGACACTTCTTTTCCCTAAAACCCTCTCATAAAGTGCCCAGCAGTGGGACGCATGTATTATAGGCTGTAACTTTTTTAACTTATAATTCATGTTATCGACTTTTTGGAAAAAACAGTATTGATGTCTTGTACATCATTGATCGACTGCACGTAGTGATGGAGGATACTGAATATCCTATAAAGGAAAGCTGCTGAGATCTTAGTGGTAGGGATATGTTCGCTTACATCAACGATTGTGTTGCTGTTTTTCCTAAAGAGTGCACTGTACGAACAAAAAATAGCTGAAGATGAAGAATTTAATTTCGCAATGGATAACCTAATGGGTGACGAATGGAATCAAATTTGGGAGGCTCTCTGGGATAATGAGACTATCCTTGAAGAAGCTAAGATTGACAATGGAATCTTAATCCGCCAGGTTGTTCTGAAATTGAAACATAGCAGTCGACTATAACATACGGTATTTAATGGTGAATTTATTGCGAATATGGTCATTAGTTAGACCGACAAAGTAGGTAGTGAATAAGTTATTTTTAATACTCATAATTACCCGTAGTCTTGAGTCTGGAACACGCGGATTCTTTTTTATCTGGGCCAGTGATCACTAATCGCAATAATTCGTGATAATAAAACTTACAGCCGAGGGTCGAGATCATCGCGACAGCGTTAATCATGGAAAAATTCTCAACGCGATTCTCCTACAATTAATTTATTTTGTCACGCAAGTGGCTGTTTGTTAAAACCATTCATCAATATTGTGGGTATATAGAATAGAAAACAAGAAAACAAACATTGCCCGTGGAAGCTCCGTCTAAATACATCCATCTGAATTGTTTAAGGCAATTATTAAGAGTTACGATTCTTTGAAGCGCACTTAATTGTTTTGCTTGAGCGGCGCGAAATTTTTTGTTCCGTTTTTTTCTCTTCTCTTGATTATTGTTTTACGATTTTTAAGGAATTACTTGTTAAATATATTTAATAATTGCTAATTTTCTTAAAAATTACTTAATGGGAACCATAAAGTTTATATCGTGATTAATTAAAATAAGAATTAAAAATTGTATTTCAGAGTTATCCGAGCACATACATATAACCGTTGGTGCGTCTGTTAGTGATCGTGTAATTTCTGAACGACTTGACTGATTGAGACCATATTGGTACATTATATTTGCTTTGACGAGACAATGTTTCATAGTTATGTTAGGATACAATAGATGACGTTGTAGTCTTGTTGTTTAAATTGTATATTTATACGAATGAATTCGGAGTAAAACTCATTGCGTTCACTAAGGGAAAGGGCAGAACAACGTATGTTGGGCCAGTAAGTATGTTTTAAAATAACGTGTTTTTTTTTTTTCAAATATTTTAAGCCTAAACATAATCAGATTTCGAGACTCCAGCAACCGGTTTCTCTTAGGTGCATACTTATTTATTAAAGTCGTTTTTAATTATTAAGTCCTACATTTCTATGCAGGCGTGAAAAAAAAACTGTTCAAGCGGACTTTATAACAATCATGATCGATATTAAAGAGGCAAAAGGAATTTAACTTTTTAACATTCCGTTTATACATGATCTTAAGAACCGTAATTCCTGACTTAGAAACAGGCAGCGGTTCACTTTAGTTATGTTTACCGTTCTATCGAACAAGTTTATGTCCGCTCTGTTGAGTTATATAAGAAACAGACAAAAATCGAACAAAACAACTCAAGTCGCATTCATACTGGCAAGGTTCGGATATATTTTGCATATGTTAAAGACAATTCTGTTTTAGTATTCAAAAGCTTTACGGTTGTAACGGGCCGTGGGTCCGTGGCTCGCAAGCTACGCGGAATCTAAAATAACCTTATCACACACAACATCATTCTATCTTTAATTCTTCATCGCAATTAATCCACCGGACCAAGCTGGTTGCAACCACTTAAATCTGAAACATTGCGGCTGATCAGGACAAAGTCGGTTTCTTGATCATGTCGTTGATCCCAGAACATCTGCACACGACAGCGACATTAACGAGGTCATTTAGCAATAACATACAATCGCTATGATATGTAGGTAATATAAAGTCAGTTCTAAAAGTTCATTAAAGTAATTAATTATATAGTGTAAAACAAATTCTTCGTCGCTTCCTGCAGTTTATTTGATTCGTAGACGGCTGTGATAAATTATTAGGTCAATATGGTATCGATTCCAGTAGAACGGGTCTCCGATTCTCTATACTCACCATAAGAAACACATCAGCATTAAAGTGATATTTTACGCTGGTATTCTATGAGAGCGTGGTGCTTCACCGGTCGAGCCGACCCATTTGTGCTACAACTGTAATATAGCAGCAGCATTTTTTTTTAAATATAAATAGCAAATTTGTTTAAATAGCAACTAGTCTAAAATATGTCTGGTATACACTAATAAGCAACATGCGGATGGTTACCGGTGGAATAGCGACGCAAAAGGCGACATAAGATCATTTGAAAGCCAATATTATAAACTAAAAAATGACAGATATTTGTCCTAAAAATTATGATGAATCATTGCAAGAAATCTTTATTCATCATCCACATAATACGAGATGAGAAGACGATATGGAAATGGAAAAGAAGACGATTTGCAAAACCTGAAATCAAGAGAAAAAAGTTGAAACGTTAAGGTAATTTTCAACATAGTCAAATTTTTAATCTTGAAATTTTTATCTTACGCATTTGAAGTAGTTAGTTATTTTACTATCCAAAATATTTACATATTCGTATTCACTGATTAAGAACGGTGTAAATCGAAGGGTATATAAAACGAGATATTTATTTCATATATATATACAAGCTAGTATATATATTTGACGACGATGACGACCCTTTTTGACGACCCTCTGTCATGTCCTATTAAAAATCCTTAAATTCGCAAAAAAAAATGTGGGTCCTCATGGGCAAAAAAACTATCCTATCTCTCAAGTTAGAGCAAACCACACACGGTGTGCAAATTTGATTAAAATCGAAACAATGTGACACGTAATATATATATATTTTTTTTAAAAAAAAAAGTCTAATAATTTTTAATCAACTAACACGACACTATACACTAAAGACATTTTTGATATCTCTTATTTTGATGCTATAGACAAATCTAAAAATTGAAAATTGTTTGAGAAACGATATCTCTATCAAAATCTAAAGAATCAATAGCTGTCCGTTAGCCTCGCTAAAACTCGAAACTAGCTCGACCGATTCAAAATGTTTTGTGTGTGTTTGAGTGGATTTGGTGGTCCCTGGATAGCTTAGTTTCACAATTGGACCCCGCAGGTGGAGTTGTTGTCGAGATCCAGAAATCACCCGTGAGAAGCCGGGGCAGGTCGCCAGTTTTGTAATAATTTTAAAATTTCGCACGAATATACACATCCACTATTTTATTATGCTTTTTCTGTATATATAAAAAATCAATTAAAAGGTAACGCCGTTAGAACAAATACATCAATATGAATAACTATTTACAAGGAAGGAATAATATGAAAATATAAATGATGTGTAGAATATTTGTAAAAGATTATTTACAGTAGTCCTTTTTTGCTTTGGATCAAATAAAATGTACACCAATTAATGAAGAACAAATTATTGCAAGCCACTAACACAATCGCTTTAACTAAACCTGACGTCGGTAGTTAATTGCACCTTAAAACTAATAAAAATAACGAGGGGGAAAATGATGTGAGTAAACTAAAAATATTGTCAGTTTTTCGTGGAATCATTTGTACAAATACGCAAACAAGTGAGAAGCGACTGTTTTAACAATGTTGTGGGTTCCCTTCAACGTAAGTAAGATGATTTTAAATAAATTTAACCTTGGGAATATATCGAGTTATGATATTCGTTCCCCTACACATAAAAAATGTGTGTAATTGTAAAGACCTAACTTTACTTGCTATAAACGAAATATTTTTGAGTACGATTAAAAAAAAACAGAAAATTAATACATTCAGAGAATATTATGAAATCGCATCGACTACATTACTTGTATTGAAATATTAATAATATATTTTAGTCATATTAAAAATAAATACAACGAAATTAATAGCTTATGCCAATAAACAATTAATAAAATGCAATAATCAGTAACACCTTCGATTCTACTCTACTTAAATTAAAAGACAAAAGCTTTCAGTATTATAAAGCTCTGCTCTGTTTTCTCTTTCGCTTCATTAGGTAAATAAATAGTGTGTGGACATTTGATAAGGTTAAACGTTCCACAAGTTTAGTCAATTAAGCAGAGTATTTATGGTAAATTTTTATATTACATTAACTTAAGTAACTAAAATATTTTCTACTCTTGTGAGATTTTACACGGCCGTCTTCCCAAAGTTATACGATCAATAATAATGGTATCTAAAAGTTATAAATCTTATTTTAACACATCCTTACAAAGGACTGTGCAACAGTAATGAGTAATTTCAGTTACAAGTGAAACTAACAACTCCTAATGCCAATTCGAAATTCTTAAATTATACCTTAAAACAAGTATACCTAACATTTGTCGAAATTATTCCTTTTTATTCATATTATATTTTTCCATTAGTTAATTACAGCCTATCGAAAGTCCAATGCAGAACACTGTTATATTGTTATGCAAATAAAACAAACACCTTTTTATATAATCGTTTAATTTCGTAATCCTTACACTTTGTAATGTATGTGTAATGTACAAGAAACCGGCAAAATTACGTCACACAATTTTGAAATAAAATTGATACTATTAAAAAAATTTAATTTAATATTTATTAAGTAGAAATAAATACCTTAAATCAAAATGATTCGACACGTATAAGTTTTAAATACAGCTGGCATAGAAAATTAAAAAGATATCATTGTTTACATTGGTGCCAGTCAGTGTCGGCGACTTTCCGTACAGGCCCGACCCGAACGGTTGACGCGTAAAAAAAAAAGAAAAATGGCCTTCGCTAGGTGGATAGGCCTCCTTGTTGACTGTTAATATATTATTGCGGATTAATACCAAATACAATAATATAATTTGTACGCGAAAGGTATATGCAATGCAATGTGGGCCACAAAATTCATTCACAGATTTTTTTAAATAAATTATATTATTTATATCCATTTTTTTTAATTTTGTTTAAGTATTTCATAATAAAATAATTAGTATTTTTATACAATGATAAAATTACGATGGCATAACATGAGAAATCGATCTGTCATTTCTTAAACAGAAAACTGTAAGAGAAACTACGTCCCGGACATTGAGTTATAATGTACTACGTATAATGTACATAATAACTCAAAAAATTGGTTGGATAAGATAGTACTACGAGCTAAACCATTTTTTACAACAAGAAATTTCATAAACCATTTAAAGCCTAGGTATAAACCACGTTTTGTAATAAAATGGTTAAAGTTTAACAAACTCCCAATCAGATAGTACTAGTAGGTACGATAAATTATTTCGTAGCATTTCGT